ATTTACTGTTTTTTGTGGATTTTTAATTCATTTTATTTTTCTTAATTAATTCCTTACTTTAAAAAATAACCTCAAATTAATATCTGTAATAATCAAAGCAATGTTACTAGAATGCGTCCTACCTGGATAATAAAGTATTTATCTAAAACTTCTGCCAAAAACAGACAAACCAAACCAACACTAACACATAGCTGCTCTCCAACACGGTGGAGGAGGAATGATGATGGGGGGCCGCCCGCTGGGCTGCAGGCTGAAGGCTGGAATGATGTCATGGAAAATCCTCCATGGCTCCATGAAGGTGAGGATTTTAAAATGTTCCAGGATATTTTCCCTCTGGTCTGATGAAGCGAGGTGATGGCAGGAAGGGCTTCGTTCAGCCTCTGGATCATCTCCAGTCCAGAGGATCAAATCTTCCCTTTGAAAAGTATTTAAATCACTTCCATCCGTTGGTGACGGGAGGTTAGAGTCAAACGCTTCAGAATGTCAGAGTTTACCAAAAAGTCTGACCTCAGCAGAGATCTCCTGCGGTTCAAACATCGACTTTCACTCCTCCAGGATCTGGAATCTGCCAATCAGACAGAGGGAGGCTCCCAGTAGGGGTCCGGCCAATAAAAGGGGGCCCCCAGCTCCCCATTAGTCTGTCTGAGGGGGAGATGTAGGGGGTGGATGCTCAGGGTGGGGGGGCTCAGGTGCTGAGCAGGCAGGCCTCCCTCTGACTCCATCCATCTCTGAGCCTGAGAGCTTCACTCTCTGGTTTTAGCAGATCTGCTTTCAGGGAGGCAGGAAAATCCTTCAAATGGATTCAGTGTTAAACTTCCTGAATGAGTAAAAATCCTGCTTCATCAGGGATGGAAATATGAACCAGGTCACAGCGATATTTTTACACTTCAGCTCCTGGGTTAAAGTAGGAGGATGAGACAAAGCAGCTGATTTAGTTTAGTTTTTTATCATTGTTTTAGAAATAGTCCAGTCTCTGCTGTTCTGGAGCAAAGTGAGCTGGATTTCTGACCAATCAGGAGCCGATCAGTGAATTAAGGCGGGAGGAAAGTGGCTGTTTGTCCAGGTGGCAGCAGGTGTGTCAATATCCTCCTGATATCAAATAAGGAGAATCAAAGAGCTTAGAGACTAAAACAGACTCAGCCTTCCCCTCATCAGCCTGCAGCTCATCAGCCTTCCCCTCATCAGCCTGCAGCTCATCAGCCTTCCCCTCATCAGCCTGCAGCTTATCAGCCTTCCCCTCATCAGCCTTCCCCTCATCAGCCTGCAGCTCATCAGCCTTCCCCTCATCAGCTTCCCCTCATCAGCCTTCCCCTCATCAGCCTTCCCCTCATCAGCTTCCCCCTCATCAGCCTTCCCCTCATCAGCCTTCCCCTCATCAGCCTTCCCCTCATCAGCCTTCCCCTCATCAGCAGCAGCGGCGCCTCCTGTATGGCGGGGCCACTTCTCCTCATCCTGGCTCTGCAGCCTGCGGCATCATGATGCCAAATGTCCTGCTTATGACCAGCCTGACAGCTGCTCCAAAGTCCACAGCTTCACGGAGCCAGAGCAGGCGTGAGTGGGCGGGTCTGGCTCACAGGATGGTTTCCTGTCAGCAGTGGAGATGGTCCAGAGGTCAGCTGATCCAAAACACACCAGGAAGGACGCTGCGTTTCACGCTGAGTCACAACAACTTCCTTCTATTAAATACCAGGAAAGGAAGTGAAAGTGGAGACCTACGGTGTCTTTAGACTTTGATACTTTAAGTAGTTTTTGGAGAACATACTTTTTCACTTTTACTCGAGTAAAGAGGTCAAGTTGATACTTTCACTTTTACCAGAGTGTTTTTAAGCTGCAGGATCTATACTTCTACTGAAGTAACAAATGTGAAACCACTACTAAACACTAAGCAAACCAGGCTTTTATCATTTTGTTGAGAGAGAGGATATAATTATAGAGATAATCCACATTTCATGGTTAAAGAAACATAAAAATCTGCATTTAAATAAAGGATTTGAAACAAACTGAATTAAAGTGGCGACCAAACATTAGGAAAAGGCTGGTTTTCTCTAAAAGATGAGATGGAAGAACTTTAATGGCTGCTGTTGGTCATTAGAGATGCTCTATATGGTTGGTGAGGGGATAATAAAATTAAGGATGTGGGAGATAAATACTATAATTTAATTAAATATCATTCATTAATAAGTTGGGTTGTGATGCGTTTTCACTTTACTGGATTATCAGAAATAAAATCATTCATTTATAAAGAAACTTCACATCAGTGCAGATTGAAGGTTAAATGTCAAACAATAGAAAAAAAAGGTTCAAGGGAAATGAATATATTAGCAAGATTTAAGTAATTTGGTTTAAGAATAGTTTGTTTTCTGTGTGATGGATGAAAATGTTTCAGCTGATGATTTAATTCATCTTACAGAAATGATTTAAAACGATGTGAAAGAAAAAAAGCTGAAATGTTCAGATTGTTGAAATAATGTTGAGTTTTTAAAACGTTTATTATTAAAAAAAGAGTGAAAAAACTGTCATATGTGGACGCACTCTATATACTGGATATAATATATATCTATATAAAGCATTTTTTAATTGAATAAAATG